AGAAGGCCATGTGAAGAGGAAGGCACGACTGCAATGACCCAGCTATAAGCCAATGAGTGACAAGAATTGCCAGCAACCACCAGGAGCTGAGAAAGGCATGGAACAGACTCTCCCCCAGAACCTCTAGAAGGAACCAACCTTTTGGTTGCCTTACTTCTGGGCTTCTGGCCTCCTGAATGTGAGACAGTAAGTTTCTGTTGTTTTAAGCAGCCCAGTTTGTGGTAGTTTGTTACGGCAGCTCTAGGAAACCAATACACACACTTGTTTAACGATGGTAAACTCTAAGGAAGGGATTCTTTGTATTTCTATATTGTTCGAAGGTTTTACAGTCAGAATTTATTCTTGCACAGCTAATCATTTTTAGCCAATAAAAAGAAAATAATAAAGAAATTACCCACATTTTATGCTGGAAGTTTTGGTCTGCCACTTATCAAGTATGAAATCTTAAATCATTAAACATCTGAATGTCTCAACAGCTTCATCAGTGAAAGGGGATGTCAACACCTACCCGGCTCACCTCCCTGGACCCCTGTTCTCTCATGCTCCGCATCCATTCTTCCTCCAGAATGGCTCTGGTGACTGTGAATGGCTTTCCATTCCCACCACCACCTTTGTCTCGAACCCAGGTCCCTGGCCCCCAGATTAGTTTAACCACAATGCAACCAAGTGTTCCTCTCCTTTCGAACCCCTTCAATGATCCTCATTACCTATCAAATTAGCTCTTCCCATCCTTATCCCTCATCACTTGCTTCCTTGGATAGAAAAGCCACGTCTGTGGATTGTCTTTGAACGCTGAGCCTTGCCTTTTTCGTCCATGCCATTGCGTAAGCTTTTCCCTGTAAATTGTTGTCCTCCAACCTAACCTCTTCCAGCCTGAAGCCTTCCCCCATAGCTGCACAACAGAGGTGATTTACTTGCCTTTGAGTTCCTATAGCACAAACCCTCGGTATCTTATGTGTTTTAATTACCCTCCCCATTAAACTGCAAACTCCTTTTGAGAGAAAGAACTTTATTCATTATTGTACCTGGTACACTGTCTTATGAAGAACAGGTGATCAATAAATATTTACTGAATAAATGAATAAGAATTATAAAACATTTGATTTATATGGCATTCATATGGGTTCTAAAAATACAATAAAGCATAAACAGGACTGATATTCAGCCAGTACATACCAGTATGGTCACATCAGTTGTTAAAATATTGAAATACTTTCCTACCACTGACCCTTGCCACCTAAATGCCTCCCACTACCACTGTTCTCCTCCCTGGGAGCACCTGGACACCCCGCAATCTCCTAACAAAAGAGTGAGTGCCTCGCACAGCAGGGAACACCCAGAACCCTGATCTAGCCATGTGGCCAGAGTCCACTGGTAAAAGTATCTATCTGACTGATCAGGACCTGTCCAGAGTCATGTTAAATATTTTGATAATACCCCTGATTATAAATAAGGTTTATTTGTACAGTTTAAAAATGATGCTTCTCCTCATTGCAAAATCTCTTAGACTAGGTAGATTCAGGAATACAAAAGGAAAATGATGGTTTGTCACTCTCTGAAGGTTTAGGGTGTACCCATTAGGACTCAATCTTCATGTAAACCAGAAGATATGCAGTTTCCTGCCTAGAAAGAAGAGAACATGCATCAGCACAGCAAAATGAAACATTCATCTTGAAACGATACATTATTAATTCACGTAAGGACAAGCAGCATCAGCCAACTTCCAGGTTGTTTGATGGTCTTCATCTATCCATCACCTCAGAGGGACACAAAATGGGTGACTTGGGACAATAACTGCTAAGTTTCTATTAGTTAATATTTAAATCAGAAGTTGAGAAACCACGGGCCCACGAGCCAAATCCAACCCTGTTTTTGCAAATGAATTTAACTGGAACACAGCCATGCTCATTCATTTACGTACTATCTATGGCTGCTTTTGTGCTATGGGGAGGAGTTAAGTGGTTGCAACAGAGACCATATGGGCCACAAAGCCCAAAATATTTTCCCTCTGGCCCTTTCCAGAGAAAATGTGCCATGCTCTGATCTAAACAGTGAGAGAATCAGTGACAACCAGCAAGTGGTAAAGATTGGGCATCTAGGAGAGATGCTTAGAAGAAATGGAAAAGAAAGAAAAAAAAAAAAAAGTAGAAGGAGCATTTCAGACAAAGTTTCACCTAATTCGTTATCGTTCAAGTGATCAGGCCTACCTCTGCGGCTGAAAACCACTTCAAATACCATCTAGTACACAATCTGGAAACTCAGCTGAAAAAATTTAAGGTCTCTCTGCTTTAACTTCATTCAGATTTCTTTCCTCCAGCTTCCTCTCTGTAGTTACGGATTTTTAAAAAATGTTTATTGACACTCACTAAATGCAAGCCAGACAAAGAAAGATGAAAAAAGGGATCCTTCCCCCCAAAGAGTTCATGTTCTCCTGTGAAAGCAAGTTACGCGAGCAAACAACTGAAACCAGCGCCCCTTGCTGTAAGGGAGGCAGGCTCAACACGCAGTGAGAGCACATGCCAAGCCCTGCACATCTGCAGGGGTGAATCAGTGAAGGTGGCACAGAGCAGGAGAAGGCCACGAGTGCCAAAACGCGAGTGGGCTTTGCCTGGACGGCAGATTAGGAGAGCGCGGTCCAAGCCGAGCCGCATGTGCACAGCCGCAGGGCAAGAGGGAGGCCCTGGTTGTCTGGAGAGCGACTCGTGCTTCGGTATGACTGGAGTCTAAGTTGTGAGGAAAGCCTGGTACAGTTTGACACTGGGGAGTCATCAGCGTCATAGTGACAACCGAATCCATCAGCATTTCATACAGCTCCAAGAACCCTATGTAAGCTCCTCAGGTCGCCATGACCCAGGCACTTTTCTTACCACTGGTAGTTACGATTTCCGTAGGTACACTGGATGTCTTCCCAGGACACCTGGAAGTACATGAACAAATGCAGTCAAGCATCCCGCTGACATCTAGTCAGCATCCGCAGAGTGCAGGGTGCTACAGCTTTCCCTCCCTCCTTCCTCCAGACAAGCCCACCCTCAGTAACTCCCAAGAACCTGGAGCATCTAGAGACAGGATGTTGTGTATAATGAAGTCTTTTTAATACCTTGTCCCTCTGTTTAAACTTTGTTACGTTTATCGCAAAGTCCTAACTTGTACATTTCTAACTCTTCTTGCTTTCCAGAAGTTTCCCACAAAGCATGAATCTGCAGGGCACCCAGCCTAGAACACCAAAAACCTAGAAACTGAGATAAGTGGACTCTTACAGAGCTGTAAACATGATGGGGACTTCATGCAGAAAAGGGCTTTATACCTCACGAAAGGCCCCACAGAGAACAGGACCACGGTGTGTCTTGATCCTGCGGACCATGCGGTCTTGGGCTCAGACGTTATTAAAGGCGGCTAATCCAGGGCAAGAGGCAATGTTTTGGATAATGTTTCTCACCCAGCAAACATTGGAGTCATTGAAGCAGAACCATTTTCCATCCACAGAATTCCGGATGTAGGCACAGTAATGACCACAGCTGGCCATTCCTACGTGGGCGATCACAGCAAAGAGTTCATACTGTCGGGACTGGAAGGACACAAGGCACGACATGATTCACCTACAACTCTTCCTTTTCTAGCCCTAGTCTTGAATTAAAAAAACACATTATTTCATCACACACTTATACATTGCCTCCTCTACGCCAGGTGCAGGTACTTCAAGGCTACTAGAAAACAGCCCTTAACCTCAGGAATCTCACAACTAACTGAAAAAGAAATAGAAAAACCAGAATTGTAATGGCATGTTTTATACCAGATGTCTTTACAGGTAATTTGGGAAGACCCAATTCTGCCCCAAAATGGACACAGAACAAGCAGCTAAGGAAGGGCTAGAGAGCCAGGGAACGCACCCCAGAGAACACATGCTTGAAGTGACCTTAAAGGATGAACACAACTGGCAGATGAGCCGCGGGAAGGGGGTGTTCTTGCGTGTGGACCCGGAGATGGCAAGGGCTCAGGCACGCGACAGAGCCGAGCACACCGAGGGCGTGGGAGGCAGGAAAGTGCTGGGAGGTCACGAGGGGTGGGCCACGAAGACCAAGTCAAGAATTAGAACTTTCTCCCACGAGTGGTGAAGAGCCATCAGAACACAGTTCTGTTTCTCCCCCAGTCCAATAACGCCCCGAACCTGAGACTCTGGAAACAGGATCAGCGACGGGAGACAGAGGGTGAGGGTAGTGCCAGCCAAGCTAAGTCACCCAGAATGGAGGGTCCCAATTATTCTGTTTTCACTGGAGGACTTTATGCTGGACTTGAAAAAATGCAGGGCAGTATCTGCATCTATTAGTTTATAAGAAATAAAGGGGTTAGAGGAATATGTTAAATGACACCAACCAGCCAATTCTGGAATATAAAAAAAACTCTTCAGCCAAATAAACTGCAAGGAAAAGAAAAGGTGTGGAAAACTGGGAAAAAAAAAAAACCAAACACTTAACCAAAAAGAGAGAAAAAAACTTAACCAAATTCAAGTGTAGACCTTGTTTGGATCTAGATTAAAACAACCACATAAAGTACAGGACAGTCAGGGAAATCCGAATATCGGCCGGGTATTTGATGATATTAAGAAATCGAGATGGAGTTGGTTATGTTTAGAAAAAAAGAGTGCTTATTCTTTAGAGAGACATAATGAATTATTTACAGACGAAATAGTATGATGTCTGGGATTTGCTTCAGAACAATCCAGTAGGGGCTGGGGTGTAGGAAGAGCAAGGCTGGCCATGAGTTTTCGTAACTGTTAGAGCTGCTTCATGGTTACATGGGGATTCATTGTCTAATTCTTCACTACTTTGGTATATATTTGAAAATTTCCATAACAAAGTCTTTTTTTTTAATCTTTTTTTAAATTTTTATTTCAGGATATTATGAGGGTACAAACATTTTGGTTACATTTTATGTCTTTGCCTCACCCAAGTGAGAGTTAAAGGCCTGCCCTTCCCCTCTACAGTGTTCCCCGTGTCCTTTAGTTGTGTTTACACCCCCATCCCCCTAATCCCGGGAGAGTATTACTACCGTGTGAGCACCATAGCGTTAATCAGTTAGTGCCAATTTGATGGCGAGTACAAGTGGAGCCCATTCTTCCAATCCTGTGACACCTCACTTTGGATAATGGGCTCAAGTTCAATCTAGGAAAACATAAGAGGTGATAGATCACTGTTGTTTCTTATAATTGGGCAGTATTTTATTGTATACATATACCAAATTTTAATAATCCACTCATGAACTGACAGGCACTTGGGTTGTTTCCACATCCTTGCAATAGTGAATTGTGCTGCCATAAACATTCGGGTGCAGATGTCTCTATTATAGAATGTCTTTTGCTCTTTTGGGTAGATGCCTAATAGTGCTATTGCTGGATCCAATGGTATTTCTATTTTTAGCTCTTTGAGGTATCTCCAAATTCTTTTCCACAGAGGTGGCACTATCAATTCAAGATGGATAACAGACTTAAACCTGAGGCATGAAACCTTAAGAATTCTAGAAGAAGATGTTGGGAAGACCCTTTCAGACATCGGCCTAGGCAAAGAATTTTTGAAGAAGACCCCCAAAGCAATCACCGCAGACACAAAAATAAATAAATGGGATCTGATCAAATTAAAAAGCTTTTGCACAGCCAAGGAAACTATCATTAGAGTGAATAGATAGCCTAAAGAATGGGAGAAGATATTTGCTCTCTACACATCTGATAAAGGGCTGATAACTAGAATCTATCTAGAATTTTAAAAAATCAACAAAGTCTTTTAAGTAGAAGACAATTTTAAATACACCTCATCAGGCAGGCTGTGCAGGTAGAAATAAGGAAAACTAGGACAGAAAATGAGAATCCTATGAAATGTATATGCCCTAAATAGGTAAAGAAATTCTGTTATAACAGGAGTTATTATAACATATTATCAGGCCTTAATTTTTTAAGTACTATGGTTCTAGAGCATAAATAGATCAATAAAATAGAACATAGTCCAAAAATAGATCCATATATATGGAAATAAAAATTCTGCCACACAGCATTTCAAACCTATGGAGAAAAGATATTTGTGTCATGGTTTCCCCTGAGAATCTCCTAATACGTTATCATCTCAGGAAAATTGAATTAAACTTTACTTTGATTAAATTTGGCCCAGTCTACTGGCTACTTTATCATTTTATCCTCAAAGTGGGTACAGGTTGTTTAATAGGGACGTGGTTGGTACTAAGAACGCAACATGTCATGTTTGCCTATGCATTTGAAAGTATTCTGCATGTTATTTGAAAAGGAAAATACTGAATTGTGGGCTCCTTCCCTCGGTGCTGTGAGGCATCTGAGCACAAACGCAATACTTATTAATAGAAATAAGGTCTTCTGAATCTTAAAAGAAAAGCAACTACAAATAGCACTGATGGTGATAACCTATTATTCTTCAAGAACACACAGATTTCCATCATTAAAATACTGTTTAAAATATAAGTGTTTTTGGATATATGAATATATTTCTGTGAATCTCTCCAAGTTCTTGTTTCCCTTGCTCTGTGTATCCCAAGCACGGCCAGCAGAGGAATGATTTCTTACATGACAGAATGACACAGAGGAGACACCTGACAATGCCATCTGATGAATGGGTGACTTCCAGCAGTTCAGGGCTAAGGGCCCATCTGAAGGGCACGTGTGTGACGAGATGCAGGATGGGAGGAGCCTCACCTGCGCCTCGCCGTCGGACAGGCCTTGCTCGGTCAGAAGGACCTGACCGAAATCCAGGCTCTGGGGGAAATACAGCGAGTGGCAGATCTTTTTTGTCTGTGAATTCCTGATGCAGAATCGCATGAGGTGGATTGTCAAGGTCTGGGGCAGATAGGTCAGCTTCAAGACCTGGAAAAGCAAAATCACTGTGGTGATAAAGTCCTAAGGCACTTGAAACGGGTAGATTCGGAGAAATTTCAGGGCTGGTGGTACGTTCTTCCCAAAAAGATCAGAGCGGAATGATACAACGTAGTTAGCGGTTTTCGTTTGCTGAATCTGGCGAGGTCCACTAAGAATAATCCGGCACTTGACTATTGCAACACTGCACGTCTCCCACAAAAGGCACAAGCAGCCCCAGGGCTCTGCACAGGTCCCAGAACCCAAGGGAACTATGGAGTCTGCTCTAGGAAGCCGAGGGAAAAACCCTGCCCACTGCTCTCGGACCTTCTCTTCTTGTCCTTAAAAGGCTCCGTCCCTCTCAGTGATATGATCTGAGAAGCCATGTGCACAGCTCTGGAAATCAGAGACCCCAGGGTCCCAGACACTAGCCTGACCCACATTCCCTCCCTCAACCACCATGAGGAGCTCCCGGGGACTCTGGAGACTCTATCTGGAAATCTACCAGGGGCAACCGCAGACCAGTGAAGCACAGCTGACCCTTGACCACACAGGTTTGAACTGCCCGGTGGGTCCACTTATATGTGGATTTGTTTTTCCAGGAAATACAGTCAGCCCTCCTCCATATCCGCAACCGGACGCCGACCAACAATACAGTGTTTGCAGGATGTGAAACCGGCATATAGGAAGGACCGACTTTTCATATACGCGGGTTCCACAGGGCGACTGTGAGACTTGAGCATGCCTGGACTTTGGTAAAAGCCAGGGTCCTGGAACCAACCCCCCGTGTGTACCAAGTGATGACTGTGTCTGATTTTAGGGAGTGAGTACCTGTTTCCCACGTGTCGTCTTCCCGCAGTTCTCGCAGAAGCACTTGCTTGTGCCCGACAGCTCCCTGGGCTGCAAGAAACAGTGCAGGGCGTCTTCCTGTCCCACCGAGGAGAACAAGAGAAAAGCACGGTTGGTATTTCCCATGTAGAGCACAACCTCCCCACACCTTGCAGGTGCGGATTTAAGCTTTTTTCCTGGTTCTCTTCGTGCCCCGTAACATCTGGCCTGGTGTGGTGCATTTGGCAGGATCTCAAAAAATACATGCTGACGGAAGGAACAGGACAGAAGGGGCATTGGTTAGGGGAGCAGTGTGAGGAAAGTGGAAGTAGGAGGAAAACAATGCTTTTTTGCCAAAACAAAAGGGAAATTGGCCAGAGCCATGTGAATGTAATAAAAAGTGACTTTTTAAAAGCCAAGGGTAGATAAAAAAAAGCAAGGGGGATTTGGCAATATTGGGTTGTACACTGCTATGGTTCAAATGTTTGTCCTCCCAAAAATTCATGTTGAAACTTAACCCCCAATGTGGCAGTACGGCGGGGGTGAGGGGGGGCTTTACAGGTCATTGGGTCATGGGGCTCTGCCCTCATGAATGGATTAAGCCATTCGTGGACTGATGGGCTACGGGGCTGACGAGTTATCGTGGGAATGGGACCGGTGTCTTTGTAAGAAAGGAAGACAGATGTGAGCAGCACGCTCAGCCTCCTCGCATGTGATGTCCTGCGCCGTCTGGGAGCTCTGCAACCAGGCTCCACAGCGAGCAGCCTCTCTCTAGATGCAGCCCCTCAACCCTGCACTTTCCAGCCCCCAGGACTGTAAGAAACAAATTCCTTTTCTTCAGAAACCACTCAAGTCTCAGGCATTCGGTTACAACAACGGAAAATGGGCATATGGGAGCAGCAAATCCACCAAGAGGAACCCCTCACCAGTGTTTTCAGGGGCTTCGAGGCCGTGTCAAAAAGAGAAAGGGGGAGAGTCAGCATGCTGCTGTCTCTGCTCCGCTCCGCTGCGCAGTCCAGGCAAATCAGGGACTCCTTCATCTGGATCACAGACAGGGCCTGCAGCCTCTCCACCTGCAAGAGGGAGGAGCAGAGACTAAGATGAGTACATCCATAAACCAGGTCAGGCCAATTTCCAGAAGTTGGAGCCCATGGACAGAAGCTCCAGAAATGGTAGCCACTAATGCTCTTTACACATAAAGGTGCAAAATATTATGGACCAACAGTAACCATGTTATGGAACGGTGATAAGCATTTTATATGAATTAACACTTTGGTTCCTCTCTACACATCACATAAACAACAGCTGAATGAGTTCAATGAGCAGAATCTTAAACTTCTGAGTCCCCTAGTTCTAGGTTCTTACCAAGTCCACATCAGTGATTTGGTCCTTAATTAGGTTCCAGATTGTGAGATAGAGTTGAGCAGCATCATGTTGGACAAACACTGGCCAAAGAGAAAAGTAACAGCCCAATTAGTGAGGCCACCGGCGACACGCCTCGTGCCCTTGTGCCCTAGCTACCTCGAAGCACATGAATACTCGTCACTTTGTGTTCTCCTAGCCTCCTACCCCCCAGGTAGGCTAAGTTTGCACTAAATATTAGGGATCAATAAGTGGAAAATAAGCTCGTATTTGATTTTTGAGAGCTCCTCTTAAAACTGATGCTCCAGTCCCACTGTATTATACAAGTGTCCTGTCCTCTCACTTAGCAGCCACCCCTACTGGCCCCTACTGGGGGCCCAGCCCGATAGAACCAATAGTCAATAGTGGATCCTCCTCTATGTCTCTGTCAAATCACTGATGTCTATACCGAGCTGACATTCTAACTCCCATGGCCATCCAGTCCTCCAGCCCCTTTATGTATCTTCTTTATTCACCCTCCTAAACATTGAGCGGTTTCCCAATACTCATATCTGACCCAGGCTTTCCCCAAAGGTATCTAGGAAAGCAAAAGTGGAAAGAACCATCTCAGTGTCAGCTGACGCCGGCGAAGAGGAAGCTGGAGTTGAACAGTGAACCGAGCATACGTCATACAGGTAAATGTAAGGCTGAGAGTGTTGTGAATGAATATAAATGAATTCAAAATTGTCGAGTTTAAAGAAACCTGGGAAGCCAAAGAAATGGAAAACACACTGAGAACTATTTTACAAAAGGAAAGGTGAGTGATAAAATGCAAAGATGTTGCAAGAAAAGGTGGTTATTGTAAATGTACTAAAGCTGCCATCTCAACACCATTTTCTTTCCTTCATAATACTTATCACAATTTGTACTCAACATTTTGGGGCTTTGATTTTGTTTTGGTTTTGGTTTTGTTCTGTCTCTCCTCTAAACTATAAGCTCCACGGAAACAAAGACTGTCAGCTTTGCTCCTGACCTACAACACCTGGCACATACATGCTGAATATGATATATTGGTTGAACAGATTAATCTATATTCCAAGATAATGAACCATGAACTCAATGACATTCTAGGAGCAGGGTTAAGGTGATGTTCTCTAGGGAACTGTCCACAGAAGGCCACCTGTCACAGAGCTGGCACTGGATGTGATATCTGACTGTAAGTCACACAGCCTTGCCACATGGAGACATCTGGCATCATCAAACCATATCAGAGCCGAGTCCCCATGCATCTAAGAAATACAGGGGTCCTTGCCCAACTCACAGCTTATTTAATACCTGCTACATGCAAGGCATTGCGCATGCCAGAGAAAGTTCCTGTCCTCAAGAAACCTTATTCTAGTGGAGGACAAGTATTTAAATGATCATAATGCAAAGAAGAATTTTTAAAAATAAGAAAAATAAGGTATACAAACTGCTATGGAAAGCTAAACGAAGATGAGAATACAGCCGCAGGGTGGAGTGAGGGCCTCCATCAACCTGCTCCTCCATAAAAACCATGAGAGTGCTGGCAGAAATTGTCAAGTCAACCTTTTCAGAACTCTGAAAATTAACCAAAGTTTGCGACAATCTGAGGAACGTTTATCTGAGAAAAACTGCTGAACCTAGGTAAAAAGAGCAGGATTTATGGCTTTTTAAACTTGGCCTATTCCCGTTCCCGTCTTCCCAGCTCTATAGTAGCCTTGAATACCAACAGCCCTACTACCACGGAAGCTACGAAAACCAACAGCTTTGCAACCACTGTAGGGGTCAGACCGGGACTGGAGTTTCTCAAAAAGTCCCATCCCAAGAGCACTTCTATAATTTGACCTGTCTTGCAGCTCCATGGAAAAACCCCAGGGTGTTGTCATTGTTTGGCCTGACTCCGGGCTCACTCAGAAGAAAATCCCTATCCCCTGGGCATTTGTGGAAAACACTCAGTAACAATTGTTCAACAGTGCAGTTACCTGAGGCTACAGTGTCATTCAGGCAAACAAAAACCTGGCAAAAAAATGGAAAGATCTGGGGAACAAGACGTCCACCGGAGACTTTGAAAAGCACTGACATGTTTCTAGAGGTCTAGAAGTCCACTTGCATACCCAAGAAAGAGCTGAGAGGGCCCCAGTCTCTCACGTCTGGCTGACATTGGGGTCATGTGCAAGAAAGAGCTGAGGTCTAATACAGAGTCATAGACTGAGCTTTGAAAGTGTGCCCTGGCAGACACAGAGAGGCCCTTGGCAAACTGTGGGAGACTTACTGGTTTAGGCATTTAAGGAAATCTCTGACCACTAAGCTAACTTCAGAGACTTCGGTGGCCACACACTACAGGGAATGTAGATTTTACAGAATTAGTTCAGAAAAGTCACTAAACAAAGAGCAATAACAAAAGGGACAATAAAACAGGAACAACAACCAGCCCTGGTTGTGGGGGCCTCTGACGTCCAATGTTGCCACATTATATTATCTAAAGTGTTCATTTTTTAACAAAAAATACAAGGAAACAAAAAAGTATGGCCCACACACAGGAAAAAAGCAATCAGTAGAAAGTGTCGCTGAGAAGCCCCAGATGTTGGCCTTCCTAGACAAAGACTTTAGATTAGCTATTGCAATATAACAAAAGAACTAAAGAAAACCATGGCAAAAGAATTAAAAGAAAGCATGAAAATGATGTCTCACCAAATAAAGAATATCAATAAGGAAAAAATTATTTAAAAAGGACCAAATAGAAATTCTTGAGCTCATAAATACAACAGCTGAAATAAAAAATTCACTAGAGGTCAATAGCAAATTTGAGCTGGTAGAATAAAGAATCAGCAAACCTGGAGCTAGGTTAATTGAGATTATCCAGACTGAGAAATGGAAGGAGAAATGAACATAGTGCCCAGATGGGTTCACCACTATTTCTCTACAATCTCTTCCAGAAGATAAAACCAGAATGAAATACTTCCTAACTCATCCTATGAGACCAGCATTATCCTAATACCAAAACCAGACAAAGACATTACAAGAAAAAAACCTAGAAACCAGTATCTCTCATGAACATAAATGCAGAAGTCCTCAACAAAATATTAGCCAATCATCTATGTACAAAAAGAATTATAGAATGTGATGTAAGCAAGATGGTGAAGTAGGAGGCTCCTATGTTCCCT